GAAATTTCCATGGTTAAATTATGATTTTAATAAATAATTATTAAATTAATTATATAAAATACCAAGTTATAAACATAAGAGCTTAAAGACCTATGAAAAGAAAAACCTCTTTCCTCTTTCCTCCAATGCTGCAGTGATAAAATGTCCCTCAGCATCCTCACATCCTGTACACATGGGCCTCTTAACATGATGACTCGGAGACCTTGGACGGCTGCAGCAGAAGGGGAGAGACGCTGGAAGGACTGGTCTAAGAACAAGCGAGCTCCAGGGATCGGAATGAGCAGTTAACCCTTGCATTGCGGGGTAGCCTCACTGCAAGGGTTAATGTACATTTTTCCCAGAGTGTTTCTTTATCTCTCATTTCACTATATCCTCAACAATCGCTCACTTTTCAATGCTTGCTTGTGTTTGTATGTCTGGTGTATGTGTTGGGGGGAGGACACACCTTCATTGAGGGTACCATAAATCTGCAACCTTATTAATGTAACCTCATCTAACCCATTCACATGTGTACTATATGGCCAAACATCAGTGTACATTTGATATTTGGTCATAAATATGTGGACCTCCCTCCAAGTGATTGAGTTCAGGTGTTTCCATTGAAGGATAAAGTTAATTATATAGACAAACAGGTGCTTCCAACTTGTGACAAGTTCGGAGAAAGTCATTATTTGCTCCAGCATAGCTGTGCCCTGGACAAAGCCAGCTTCATAAAGACATGGTCTGATGAGTTGGGTGTGGAGGAACTCGGGGGGCTTGCTCAGATTCCTGACCGGAAAAGAAAAAAGGGAAGGAGAGCAACTGACTGGCACAGAATGTATGGATGGGAAATGATATTCTACCAGATTCCTGACCTCAACCCAACTGAACATTTTGAGACAAATTGGAACACCAATTGTGAGTCATGTCTTCTTGTCCCACATCAGTACCTGATCTCACAAATGTTCTTTTAGCTAAATAGGCACAACTTCAAAATCTTGTGGAAACCATTCCAAGAAGAGTGGAGACTGTTTTAGCTGCAAAGAAGGACCAACTCCGTATTATTGTCCATGGTCTTCGAATGGGATGACTAGCAATCTTATATAAAATATATAAGTATGATGGTCAGAGTTTAACAAACCTTTGGGCCATGTACAGGTGTACTAGGCAGAATCCACGGATGTATTTGATTGTAAAAGGTGTAAAACGAATAATACCTTTGCCATGCAGTTACTGTGTAGCTATTAAGAAAAACAAAAAGTAATTAACAGAAGACTTAATTTACCTAGCCAGCATATTTCGCACTACGACTAATCTTTCTTTAATTAAAATAAAGAGAAATAACCCTCTTTAAAACAGATAAACAAAATTAATTAGAGGGAGGTTGTATGACTTTTCTGGGATATGATAGAAATATTAAAGGCATGCTTCAGGTAAAAATGAAAATGCTGCAAATACTGATGGAGGAAAATGGATTCCTTACTGAATTCCTCCAAGTTTCATTTCAGCATCTATCCTCCCAATGTCCTGCTAGCTAAATCCCCATATTTCTAGTTTTCTGATCTTAAATGACCTGAAAATTAGCCAGTGACATACCGACCCTGTATCCAGAACCTACCAAACTCTAAAGGCTTATTCTGGGCAATATTTTAAAAAAAGGTCCCTTTTCCACCACCCTTCCACCCCGTACCTAGCTAATCATGCTGTCACACGACCTTCCATGGTGCTTCTTCTGGTGTTGGAGACCATAGACTGCTCCCTGCTGGCAGGGCCAGATTTCCCACAAGACCAACCAAGCCCCGGCCTCGGGGCAGCAGGTAGTAGAGGGGCAGCAGGGGTGTGAAATTCCTATTTCTCGACGCCTAGGACATGCAGTTCCCGGGCGGATAGTTGTTTTCTACATTTAGCCCTGCTTAGGGCAAGCAGGGCTAAATGTAGAGCGGGGAAGCCGCTGCTTGTTTTGTACCAGTGATCACTTGTATGCAGCCTGCATACAGGTGGGCGCATTGCGGAACCTGGCATTGGGGCAACAGAGAGAGTAAATCAAGCACTGCCTGCTGGTCTGCTAACTGGTCTTGCTGCCATCCATGCCACATCAGTTTTGCAGGGCACATCTGTGCAATATAGCCCAGCAGAATCCTTCACACCATGCTGCTCAAGGAAGAAGATCCCAAAGCCAGGTGATTACATCATCCAGACTTCAAAGAAGATTTTCTATCTCAATCAACAGGGGTGTTGGGAGGGTTAAAGGAAAACTATGAGGCGAGTGATTTCCACTCACCTCATAGTTCTAGCCGACCTGTGACAATGAGACTGTCACAGGTCGGCTCAGTAGATCGGGAGGTGAGCGAACACATGCCAGGTTCGCTCACCTCTCGATCCTGTCACGGCTCTCTGCCGTGACAGGGGCTGGATTCCCCTCTCCCCGCTCCGCTCTGCCAGTGCTGACTGGCAGAACGGACGGGGGAGGGGGCGTGTACAGCTGGCTCTGCCTCTAGATAGGCAGAGCCAGCTGTCACTCACGCAGCTGGGCGGATCCCGTCATCTACGTCGGGATCCGCTCCGGCTGCGGCATCTCAGTATATAGTGAGCTGTAGATCGCGGTATACTAAGCTTAGGGTAACGGGAGGACGCTAGTTTGTGTCCTCCCGTTACCCTAAGGAGAACTATGGGGAAAAACACTGACCCCATAGTTCTCCTTTAAAGTTTAAAATCAGGCTTGCCCGGAGATTGGCTTTAATTCAAAATCATCACAGCCGTAGCAAATATTATTAGATAACTATTCTAAAGTCACTCTGTGTCTGCTGTTTCGTTGTCATTATTATTATGTATGATTCACACTTATACAATATATAGTTTATCAATACACAGCACCAGGAATAATGCACTAAATAAATGCAGAAATCCATGGCAACCGGCTAGACTCCATGTGACTTCATCAGAATAAATTCGAACTGGTTGCCGTGGCTTCCTGCACTTATTAATTAGTACGTTGCTCCTGGCACTGTTTAATAAGACCTCATGTGATGCTAAATTAAGTTAGTGAAATTGGTGTCCGCCGTTCTTTGTACAATCAGATAACGTTATAAGACTTTTCACAGGAACATGGAAAGTATGCTTCTGTCTAGGGGTTCACTTGACTATTGTCAACATCATCCTTTTTACCATCTAGTAGGTGTTGCAGGGCAACTAAACTACATTTCAAGTTCTTCCTGAGGACTTCCAAAGTGTTACCAGGCTAGCTCCAATGATGAAATGTGATGAAATTCCATCCATTGCAAATGCCCATTGCCTCAGTCTAAATAGAACAAAGTGGTCTACAATGCAGCAAATAAGAAAGGGGGCACTGGCGGAACTACTAGGGTCGCAATTGCGACCGGGCCCTAGCGTTCCGCCACTTGGGGGGGGGGGCCCAGCGAGGAAGAAGAGGAAACCCCCTCCAGAGAGTTGCCGTTCTGCACCCCTCCTGAGACCTTCCGCACCCCTCCTGAGACCTTCCGCACCCCTCCTGACAACCTCTGTACCCCTCCTGACAACCTCTGTACACCTCCTGAGACCTTCCGCCCCCTCCTGAGACTTTCCGCACCCCTCCTCAGACCTTTCGCACCCCTCCTGGGACATACCGCACCCCTCCTGAGACCCTCTGCCCCCCTCTTGAGACCCTCCGCCCCCCCCTCCTGAGACCTTTCTGCACCCCTCCTGAGACCTTCCGCACCCCTCTTGACACCCTCCACACCCCTCCTGACACCCTCCGCACCCCTCCTGACAACCTCTGTACACCTCCTGACAACCTCTGTACACCCCCTGAGACCCTCCGCACCCCTCCTGGGACAATCCGCTACCACTCCTGAGACCCTCCGCTCCTTATTATTAAGTAGGGAAGCACCAGTGCCGATACTGGGCATTTTCACAAGTGCTCATACTCGTGAAAATTCCCCAATACTAAGCGCAGATACAGGTGGTCTGTCGAGAACGCCGGCCTAGTCGAATTTGCCGACCTCAGCATCTGCGCTTCCGCACAGACCAGTATTATTGAGCAAACCGGGATTTATTTATAAAGTATTTTGTTTAAATCGTTAATTGTGACCGTTAATATTATTCCATTATTCACTGCCATGGACGGTATATTATTAACGGTCACAATTAACCATTACACGCAAATATTTTGTAAATAAATGCCGGTTTCCTCGGTAATCCTGTCTGTATGTAAACGCAGAAACTGGGTCGGCGTTCTCGACAGAACACCGGCACTAAAATTTTAAACAAGCGGCTGCCTGAGATCCCGCGCTTGCTGGGGACCTCGTCAGCCTTTCTGTTAACCAAGCGGTGCCCTGGGGGGAGGGGTGCCTTCATGGTTTCTTGCACCGGGGCCCTGAAGGTTCTAGTTACGCCTCTGAAAGGGGGTGCACTTTTCTGAGGTTTGCCACTAGCAGATGACCATGGACAGATTGTTTTGGCATATACTGGGAAAACAACGGGTGTATCTTGGGCGGGAGACCAGCGATGTGGTTAAGCTTCAATAAAATATCCCAGCAGAACCTGGTGGGTGGTCAGCTTTTCTCTTGTTTGTATG